TAAAATTTTTAGTTTCTAATTGTCGAGTGAGAGAAATTTCACTAAAATCGTGTCAAAATGTTACTACTCATTAAGATCGTTTTATACTTCGCTAAGATGACTATTTCAAAGCTAAAAAAATACGTTGATTTATCTAATGTAAATGAAGCTTATTAACCATAGAATGAAATCATCACGGGAAACAAGATCTCAAATTATTATGTTTATATGCTCGAAATTAATTTAATATTGTTTAATAATTTTCATACGAGCAAATTTCTGTGTCTCTAGAGATCGCGAGTATCTTGACTTCTACTCGATCGACGCTTTAATTAGGTGACTTTTCTGACGAAATAATGAAAAATCACGTGGTAATGACGGCACCTTGCGGAAATTGATATCTAGATTTTGTGGAGCTCTAAAGACAAGAAATAAATTTCATTCTCAAAAGTTTCAATACAAAATCGTTATTGATTCGAAAACCAAAAACGACACAAAGAAAATGAGCACGTCTACTGCCGTCCAGAAATATCGTAAAATAAATTCGCGACCCAGTTCGGACAGACACCAACAACTAGTTACGGAAAAATGAAATAAAATTCTCACTTCTATCTTTGTAATCGCGTGACGACGAGACCAAAATAATACACGATCACCTCCCCCTCGCGTAGTGAACGCAAAAACGAAACGGTCAGGGCGAGGGCAAGTAGAGGGAATACGGGGAAGGGGGAGACGGAGAAAGCGTCAAGGGAGAGAAAGATTGGTGGAAAAATAAAATTGCGAGAGGAAAGGATGAAAGATGAGCGCGATTCACTTTCGCGACGTCGAAATGAGCGGCGTGCTCCTGCGCGTACAGCCAGAAGTAAATCTTCACGTTGTGGCAAGCAATGAATAACTTGGCGATTTTCACAAGCGCCGTCTCTCGTTTTCTCCCTCTCTCTCTCTCTCTCTCTCTCTCTCGCTCTCTCTCTCTCTCGCTCTCTCGCTCTCTCTCTTTAGCTACCACGTTTACAGACACGTATACCTGCGAACGTACGAGGAGGAAGAGGGATATATTTTGAAATGTTGTGGTACAATGCACGATATCCGAGCCTTTACATGTCGAGTTGTATTCAAGGTGTATGGGCCTGTTACTTTATGACTCTTGAGCTTATTGTACACGCTTTCGTAGTTATATCGAAATGTGCAGTTTCTTCATTGTCCATGATCGAAGATCTCGTTGAATCGATCTCAAAAACAATGATGAGTGCATCTTATCTTCGATCGCGATATATCTTCAAATCTGTTTCATGGAATTTTAATTACAGAAACAAAGCATAAGTGTAGTCATTAATTTCTTAGATTGCTCACTATTTTCGATTCGATGCTTAAATAATCATGTAACACAGCTTAATGTACTTTTACGCAACATTTCTAAACGATATTTTCTTTCTTTTTTTTTTATATAGAACCTTTTATACGGTCATATATTTTGTTTACTTTCAGATTTTAATATATCTGTATTAGAAACAATGCCTGCCTTATGTGCTCAATATTTATAGAGAAGCATTTGTGAATTTTGAAGTGTAAAATGGTAAATAATGAAAAATGTTCATTCTTTCAAATAGAATTATTTGATACTGTATGAAGGTATTATAATATATTATGTGTGTGTGTGCGTGTGTGCGCGCGTGTGCGTGTGTGTGAGCGCACGCGCGCTAACTTGCGTACGTATTAACTACTCTATGGATAGTTTATATTAATTTTTAATTTTCAATCTACCGATTATTTATTAGTGTAGAATTACACGAATTACTGCAATTATTATTAATTTCACCTTGTAATAATAATATTAATTCAATCAATTCTCTCTTTTATATGCACACTTATTAGGAAAAACATGCGATATAATGAAATTCTGAATGCAATTAGAAATAAAACATGTAGTAACCAGAAAAATGAGGCAATGTCCTTTCTCCGGTTAATCTCAAAACTTTGTAAAATTTAAACGTAAAAACATTTATATGAATAAGGCAGTGGCTTGCTCGAGACAATTTTTACGTGCGTGCATGCATCGCTTATAATTTGCAGTCCGTATGAAACGGTCCTCAAGAAAGTCTCATGGAGAATATATTAACCTTTTGCATATACATTCATATCTATAATTCTATGCATACCTGTGCATAATATAAACATTTTTGTCTATTCACAAAACGTTTCAATTGCGCGTAAGTGAGAAATGATTACAAATATAGGAGGAATACTGTATATGCGGAGCACTAACGATTGACACATTAATCTTTCGAATTTCTGTAAATTTGGGTCATTCCAAAATATTTTTAAAAATTCTCTCTGAGACTGAGGCTTAAATTCGGTCTCATAAATTTATCAAAGAGCTACCCGCGTCATGAATTCAGTCTCCGGCTTTAGACTCGCGATCCCACCCTCGACGAAGCCAAAGACATGAAAAGAATAGAAAGCGATGTGAAACACCAAAAAAATGTTTAACCTGATTGCAAAGATAAGTTTAAAGTAAGTTCAAAATTAATCTGAACACGTATTAATGCATAGAATAGTGTGAATATGAATTTTAGTCAAGTGATGAATCGTGATGTTAGAGCCATACTTTGTGCGCGGATTACATTTTTCAAACTTATCAGCTTCTGGCTACGCTAACAAGCTACATGCGCGAACTTCTTTTAGCATTATCTTTACTCAGTTATAAATTTACAATAAAATATCATTCACAAATATATTTCAAATTATTATTTTAATTTTTAGTTTGCTATTGCGTTAAAGTAATGATTGCGCTTGATAATTTTATTTTATTTCATTGGGAGGGGCACTCGGAACTAATAAAATAATACGTTCGTACTTATCTTATTAGCCCTATTAGTTATTACTATGCACGATAAACAAAGTGGAAAAATTAATTACTGTTTTTTTTTTATCGTTGAAAGGTATATTTCAATCTATTTGCAGCCTCAGTATTTTTTGCAATATTTAAAATTAGATTTATTTGATTTTCTAAAGAATTATGGTAAATATGGTAGTTATTGCTCAGTATATTTTTAAAAATTAATTTATAAAATTTTTTGATAAATAAAAATAATACGCCTACATTAAACAACAGCATTCGATTTATAATATAAAAAAAGGCCGTAGGAAGAAAAAGACCCGGAATATAACTATAATACCAAATGACTTTATTAGGAAATAATAAAATGTTTATTAATGAATCAATATTTTATAAATCATTTTTTTTATCTATCCAATGTACAAATGTATGTATATAAAAGTTAATAAGATAATACACTAATAGAATAAGAAAGAGGATACGAGAAAGAAAGAGAGGAGAATGATAGAAATTGGAAATAATTTGACCTGATAAAGTGGGGATGATAACAATAATAAAAAAGATAATGAAGTGGCGCGTAAGAATAAGCAGGAAAAGGGGAATGAGGAAAAAGAAGCCACATATGGCGGAAAGCTGTTGTTGATATCTCATAAAGTGATGGAGAAAGAGAGAAAAATGTAATATGAAGAAAAGAAAGGGATAAATACATAGAGAAAGAAAAAGTAACTAAGAATAAGCAAGCATAAAATTAAAGATGTGAAAATATATAATTATTATCTTAGCAATGATTATAGTACAATACATACAAAGTGTTCATGCATTTAAAATATTCATGCACAAATAATAAATTGCAAACACTGTATCCTTTTTTATTACATACAGTTTGGGTGTAATATTTTGTTAAGTGCGTAGGCATTAACTTATTTGTTAACGGTAATTTTTGCTTTTTTTAATGGATTTTTTGTCAAGCAATTAATTGGAATGTTATTTTTATCAGAAAGTAATGTATTCCAGTGCATTAATATTAAAATAAATGCGATAACTTTGTAAAACAAATTAAAAATTAATTAATTGGTATAAACCAAATATTTTACGATAATATTTTGATATTTCATCTCAAAGATGTAAAGTATAATTTCGTAAAAAAGTTTTAAACATCTATAAATATCTCGTATTATGAAAGTTATATTTATTAATTAAAAAATAATATCTTTGCCGAAATAGACACGAAATATATAAAGCAAAAATACAGTAGTACTACTGCACAATGTAACTATTACTACTAAGCAAAGGGGTGTTAGTAACAAAATGGATTTTTATTGTGCAAATTCCAAGCAATAAATGAAGCAGTATGCGTGTCCTCTTAAATTGACATAAGCATACGGGGACGCTTAAAATACTGAAATGTAGAAACATAAAAAAAGAAAAAACAAAGGATAGAGGTAAAATTGCAAATATAGTAGTAATGCGGGACGCGTTAAAGGAAAAAAGAGACAAAGTCAAAGAGGCGCGAAGGAGACACTGCGATGCGACTTGAAAGTGCAAGGGTTCAATGAATCTGTCTCGAGCTCGTATTTTTGCTGGGATCATTTGTGTTCTCATGTGTGTGAGCGCGCGCGCACGTGTGCAATAGTGCAGATGCGCACAAGTTAATGTGCGGGTGCGCACGAAACGAGCTGCGACAATATCCGTTGCGCGCGAATATTTCGCGATATTTTTAACGCGCGAAAAAGCCGGCAGCTTGTTTATTTTTCCTACTCCCTTTGCTCTTCCTTTCCTCGTTCTTTCTCTGCTTGGGTTGCGATGTAACGAATGTGTCGCCGGAGATGTCCCGCAATCCTTGACATCAGATACAGCGATCTTGGATTCTTATTAATGATGTGTTTCCCTATGATTTATAGTATTCTCGATTTGAGATAAGCGGTAAGCGATTATGACGAGACAACGTATTTGCGTAAAGTGCTCGTCTTTTCTCTCACACCCGCTCTCTCTCTCTCTCTCTCTATATATATATATATATATATATATATATATATTTAACTTTAGTGGTTAGTTGCTGGTTTTACAATCTCAACGATCCGGCTCAATTGTTTTCGAAATCGCAACACTTGAGCACAACGGTCGAGGCAACAGTGGTTGGTCGGCTGCGCTTAAAGACAGTCAAGAGCAAGATTAAAGTTCCTACCTTCAGCCACTCCATCTTGAGCGAGTAGAAGCTGTAGTAGTGGTGGTAGTTGCAGCAGCAGCAGCATCCGAATCGGTATTGGCAGCCGATCCATGTCTCCCGGTTGAGCTCGTCAGTAGGCCGACATGTTGCGCACGTGTCAAAACGTTAACCGTATGTTGTGTTATCGACGCAACGCGACAATCACCTCGGCGGCGCCCGAGCGACTGAGCTTTGCACGCACCCGAGCTTTCGCCGAGGCGGTGGAAGAGTCCTGTCGTCGGGAGGGGCGTCGGGGCGCCGAGCGTAGGCGGACGCGGGAAGGTCGCAAGATGTGACAAGGGTGAAGGAGAGGGAGGACCCACACCTCCGACATCTATTGGCCACTAAGAGTCGAGGGGCATCGATTTTTCAGATTTTTCATGGAAGACTTTACCTACTCTGACTCAAGAGCGAATTTAAGAGCTCCTCAGCTACGCTTGTACCTACGTTTGCGAATGTACTTGTAAAAAATAAGAAAGAGGAAGAGAGAATCGAGCCTGACACGGGGAATACATTCTGTTTTTTATTTATTATATACTCTTTACAATTACAGTACTGACCTTGTACTAATTTATCCACCACCGATGCAAGATGATAATAGCCGACTATACTTATTATCGTAATCTTTTTGTGATACCAAGTTGCTAATCAATTTTTCTTTGGTTCCAGATATACATTATTTCGCATAAGACTCATTTCAGCGCATGTCATTATTTGTAATAAACGAGATTCTTTTGTCAACATTTGAATTCTAATGGTTTCAATATTTACGAAGCTAGGTAGCAGATTTTGTCCATTTAGCGCAAATATATATATATATAATTTTAATTAAAACCGGTTGAAGAATTCTATATTTTTCTTGCTGATATTTAGTTTATATATCTTAAATTTTCCATATTTAAAACTGTTTAAAAATTCGTTTAAAAAAAATTCTACAATCAATCATTTAATAAGCGAAACTGCTTTTACAATCCATAGATTTTTTAACTTTATCGTGGAATTGCCAGTCTTTAATAATTGAATCAAGTAACAATTATCTTAATATTATTTTATATATGATTATAATAAGTATATTTATATTCATAAAAGTACAAATTCTTTGTAGTTAAACAAGTATTTTCGCATTTTTTATTTATATATGTCAACGGCTTTTCAGTAATAGTATTTAACTTTATTTAAAATAAAAAAAACTAACTATTATCTCCATGTACACTAGGTATTATTACCGGTGAAAGGATCTCCAATAGTCTCTGAGAGTAGCGTATCAAGTGAATTATTATATATACTACGAATGCAAAGAATGACGAATTATTCTTTGGATAACTTTTTAAGCAATTCGTAGAAATCATATAATGTAGAGTAAACTGCTTGCTAATATAAATTTGTAGATATTGTTTATAGCAGCGATTATTTCAGTTCTTTATTACATTATCAGGTAATCAGTGTAAAAAAGATAATATAAAACGAATTACTGAATATTCATTAAATGCGCATTGAGCAATTTAATATTCAAGTCTATGGCAAATATCCGAATATATGTTTCCTAACGTATCGTATAACAAGAAGCGATCATCGTACTTAATCAAGATTCTCCGTATTCAGACCTGATGTCAGACGTCACATAATTCCATTTCTCGTGATATGTAGTCACCCTGAATAACGACTCGAAAATTATGAAAGATTTTCAGTTTACCGTGGAATTAAACGAAGAACAAGTTGTCAAAGTGTCGTTACAACCTCACATTACCCACATATTTTATGAATAAGGAAAAAAATTAATGGATAAATAAGTTAGATAGTTAAATTAGATATATTAGATGAATAGATAGATATTGAATTGAGAATGAGGGAGAAAGAGAGAGAGAGAGAGAGAGAGAGAGAGAGAGAGAGAGAGAGAGAGAGTGAACCCTCATACTGATTGTATTGTATACGGGCCTATTCAGCCCCCATCCAAAAAAGATACCAAGCGACTCATTGGTATGGGTAAGTGTTATCCGACATTCGGCACGATACGTGGACTATCATACAGGGCATCGTGAATTAATTTTACCGCAAGATTCTCGGTTGATTTATGAAGGACTACCGAAACGAAAAATTGTTTCGCAAACGAGAAACACGGGATTGTTGGCTCGCGCGCGTAAGTCATCACTACCACGTGCAATTTTCTTTTTCCTTGCATTATTTACTTCTTTTCCGATGATAAGCTCCTTTTTCGCTACAATTTTTATTTTCATGTGAATTGCATTTGGCGATTTTAATATTTCGATGCCATATTTCGACGTTAGTTAATGCTTCATTGCAGATGAAAAATAATAAAAACACATTGGCGATTTCACTCGAGTATGTCTAATTCATTGGTATTAAATATCTATTATAAATGCAGATGCATTCGTGTAAGATATTAGTATAAATCAGTTTATTATATATTTTTATTATAAATACTTTCATTCCGCAGATACATAGCAGTTATTTTGGATTTTATGAATAATTGGAGCTTCTGTTTCGTATTAGTTTTGAATGACTGTATAAAAGAATGATCGCAATAAAAGAAGTTTACAAGTAGACTTTTAAAGGTTATTAAAAATATTTTTTAAGCTACTATGGTGCAATAAATGCATAATAAAACATGATATAAGCAAAACACATAGTTTTAATAACGTAATGTTATAAATTTCTATATGCTAATACTCTGGTTGTCTTCTAATCAGTTACAATTGTATTACATTACATATTTGAATGCTTACACATACATACACACACACACACACACACACACACCCACCCACACACATATATATATATTCTTTAATTTGTAAGGAGTTTGACTTTTTAAGATAAAACCGTCAAGGTTGAGTTTATGCTTGCGGCAACAGGTTTTTGTGTAAAATTGTAGTATCACGAAAATAAAATTACTGTTTATTTCTATCGAGTAAGGAGAATTCGATAAGCAGAGCAACATATCAATTCTCATAAAAAAACCTTTTACATTGAATAAAATACAATCGTTAGATGAATCACAAATAGATAGTGCTACCCTCTGCCCTTTCAAAAGGGATTCCCGCTACCAAAGGAATCGACACAGTAATTTGGAACTTTTGAAGAAGAGGCAGTATGGATTTAAGCATCGAGAGCTCCTTAATTGCAAAGAAGTAAACAGCCTTTTAACTTTGTGCTCTCGGTATTTGCCTCGCTAGAACGTACATACCCTACGTTATAGGAATCTTTTAATCGTATGCAGCGTTTTTAGCGTCATAGTGTATAAGTGTGAAATTTTAACAATCCCACAACGGCGCAGGTCCTTTCAAAATTGAATTGAAAAGCTTAGTTAAGGCCAATTCACTACATTATATATATTTATACTAACGGATTTTTTCTATGCTTAATGCCAACTGTAAATATAAAAATTATTTAAAATATTAAAAGTCTAAAAAATCGTCATGTACATGATAAATTGTTTTTCAATTTTAGAATTAATCATTTTAAATATTGTAAATCACAAAAAATATAATACGAATGGTTTAATTGAATTGAATTTTTACAATTGGGTACAGGAAACCCAGTTCTAATCAGCTTTCATTAATACATCACTCAAATAGTTAAATGTTGCTCAGAATATTTAAATATTTTATCAGTATGTTATTTTACTGACAAAATACTACAAACATTCATTTTATGTAACCGTATTTTTTTACTATTAAAACAATAAATTCATATTAAAGTGTTTTATGTGCCCTCATATTATATCGAATCATTATTAACGCAATTTGATGTTTATGTTTATTTTATTTTTATTGATTTATTTTGTTTTTTTATATTTTTGTTATATTTTGTAAAGTTACGCGCGATTTTCGATTACATTTCCTTTCAATTGTTCGTTACCTTATCATTGTAGTTAGAATGAAAACTTAAAGAATAATGGTTTATACCATAATTGACATAACCAAAAATATCAAGATACAAAAAATAAAAGTATTTGTTCGTTCAAGCTTTAACTATGATATAAACGACATCCGAGTGTAAGATTTTACTAATTTGTATTTCAGTCGGCCACCAACATCCTCAATTTCCTTTCCGCCGAAAAGGATATTGAAAGAAGAAACATAAGAATCAGATGAGTCAGAAAAGCCATTGTTACATGCTGGCGGAACAAACGGAACGACAAAATGGCGCGAGTCAAAAAAGTAACATGAACGATGGTGACAATAGCGTGATTCCGCGAAACGTATAAAACGGCTACCACGCAACGAATATTAATCGAATCAAGCTGGCTTCTATTGGCATACATAACAAAACGATGGCGCAACTCCCATACGGATACTGGAGTACTGGACACTCGCCAGTGCGAGCGGTTAAAAAAGAAAGGAGTAAAAGAACATGCGAGCTGTTAAGCTGCTAAGGAAGACGCGCGATAAGGAGAGTACGAGGGATATGTTGAAGAGTGGCGGGGACGAGAAGGGAGACATCGCTTCGACACATCTTGTCTCGCATTTGAAATTCGACTCTCCACTTCCCCACTTTTTAGTCTTGAGCGCACGACTCTCATTTGATATGCGCGCGCGCGCGCGGCTGTACCCGAGGGCCGCTCGTTTGGGAAAATAGATGCGGGAAAAGAGAAGGCGATGGGCGCTAATTACGCCTTTGCGCGTGCGTGCGCGGAGACTCGGCAGTTCTACGAAAAGGACATTGCATCGCGTGCGAAGCAGGTTCCGCATATCCTTGAGGTTCTGAATTTTTTTTTTTTTTTAAGAATAGACGAGGTCAACATGACGTCGCAACGCTGTCACTTTACATCACTCATTACGCACTGTATTTGGTTTTATTAATAAGCTAGTGATACGTAAGCAGACATTCGATATTTTAACAAATACAATCCAATATTCATACATAATTTTCTTATACAACTTGGTAGGTGCTATAAGTCATCGGCATCTCTCCTGATAACAAGAAGAGCCTAGAATCACCGACGATTATCTTAAACGATCGTTTACACGAACTTTTCGTCAATGTTTTATATTTGTTGTTAATCGTTTCAATGCTTTCCATGTAATGGCCAAACAGAGATCATGCTTTCAATTTTGAGAGAGAGAGAGAGAGAGAGAGAGAGAGAGAGAGAGAAAGAGAGAGAGAGACAGAGAGACAGAGAGAGAGACAGAGAGACAGAGAGAGACAGAGAGAGAGAGACCGAGAGAGAAACAGAGAGAGAGAGAGAGAG